AATGAGTTTTTTGGGTTCATTGAGAACATGGTTGTTGTTCAATAATAAAATTATTCCTCAAAAATACAACTTGCCTAATAATTCTGCACTCCCTGTATATGAATGGACCATGCGACAGGCATGATATGAGAAATAAATTCAAAATATTAAAGGCAGAATTTCAAAGCTTCTGTGTAAATAAAAATAACTTGTGGCATCATTTTATAGCATGCAGGCACTGATACATGTGCGGGCTTCTAAAAAATGTGTGTTTGACTGTCTGCGTGCGGGCTGAAGTTTCAAGGCTGTCTTTAAGTAGGTGATTTCCCCATTTTTTGTCTTTTATCCAATCTTCACTGTGATCTGTAGAATTTTCCTCCGAAATAGTAACAGTGCACCGACAGCACCACTTTGATTAAAGTGGAGCTCAGAATTACAGGGCCCTTTGTAGAACATCTGGCTCAGAAGCACCCTGTGCCTGTAAATATGACACTGTTCTGTAACATTCGTCTGTATTTAATAAAAAAACTAGTACCTTTAGTCCGATTTTGTGCACCGATGTCTTAGTGAGTATGCTGATTCATCATAATACAGTATTTCAACTGTCAGTGTGACAATCCAATAACAGAGCGCACAACCCAAAACTTATAATTACATTAAAAAAATAATACATCAACTGCGACATGTGTCCTCAGTGCAGAATAGCAACTGTCACAATCAATGTTGACTGGAAATGATTTTAATATATATATTTTTTTATCTTTTTGTCCAAAACTAGTTGAACTAGACCTTCATTATCTCCCGATTAGTCATTGAGATTTAATAGTGGTGGGAACTAGTGCAGAAATGTGCATTCCACTGAGAAGTAGTTGATGTGCTGTCAAGCTGTGTGTGTGTGTGTAAAACTATATTTGTGTGAAAAAGACAAAGCCTTGGTCATGCAAGGTGCTGTAATCCACTCGGTGACCTCCAGAGCCTGCTCGCTATGTGAATGTGTGTGTGTGAAAATGTGTCACCAGAGCCTTGCTTATGTTTGATGGTGGTCTTATCCACCCGATGACCCTCTGAACCAGATGGTGTGTGACTGCATGCCTGTGAGAGTGTGTGTGTGTGTGTGTGTCCCACCTCTGAGCCTCCTGGCACTCCAGTCAGTCCCCACACCCACCAGTCCTCCAACACCACACACCCCACTTCCCGCCCTCCTTCATCCTTTCAGTTGGGTGTGATCACATCAAAGCAAAAAAGGGAGGATTACAGGTTTGTGCCCCAAAGGAAGCTAGCATCCCTCTAACTGTAACTCTCTCTCGTTCTCGCTCTCGTTCTCTCTCTCTTTCATTCCTGCCACTTTCCCAGTGGGGCCCCCGTAATCCCTACGGTGTCAGAAGGTCAGGGGACCGTGTCATGGATAACCCACTGGGGCACATATAATACAGCTAATAGTTAGCTAACATGAACATAAAGACAGATCCAAATTTTTTTATCATCTCTTTTTCCCCTAGGCTCTATTGTTCATTTTTTTTCTTTATCATCTTTGTTTTATTTCAAGTCGTAGTAAAAACCATAATTCCCAGCAAGAATGGGAGTTTTCTGCTGTTTAGAAACACTTGTATATGGCTACAAGTGTTGCTGAACAGTAGACAAATGGTTCAACTCCTGCTTTTAAACATAAATTCACACATACGCAAACACACACATGCAAATAGATAAGATCGGTATGGCGATACAACTGGCAGAATGGACTCGACAGTTGTAATGACGCTAATAGTGCACTTAGTCCTGGCATTTGTTTTATGTTGGGTCAGTGCGCGACACGCACATAGCCTTCAAAACACAAAGAGAAAAAGCAAAGCTCTTGGTTGGGATCAGTGCTATTTTATGCTCTACTTTTGCAGCCGTGGCATCTCGGCCCTCATATTTATGCATCTGTTGAGCAAATGTTTATGATGCGACGCCGCTAGCAGGTGTCACTCTAGTCCCAGATCAGTTTTCAGGGTACGGTTGGTCCACTGTGGATGTAGGCCAATTGAAACTATTGTTTCCTGTTACTCTTGAAGAGTCTATTGGACCGTGCATCTGTCCTCGAGGATTTTCATAACATTCCACATCAGGGTGCAGCAGCAGTGTAATGCACTTGTGCAAATTCGTCTCAGTTTCCAGATAAATTGAAAGAGTTGTTTAGGAGAATGGATGTATGGTCACTGGTCGCAGTGAATGCCAAAAAGTGCGGGAAGTTTTATTCTGGGTTCCTCACCCATCTTCATCTATAAGTAGGAAAGGAGCCTCTGCTGAAACAATTCTCCAGCCTCGATTTCAGATAAACACTCGACCATCTGTTAACCGGTCATGTGGCCTTATTGCAACTGTGTGACAATTTAGTGACAATTCACCAGATGCATTAAGATTTTTCAAAAGCCATGTCCAGTTAACTGAACTAAAATGAGTTACTTGCCAGTGCTTGCCTTCTCTTTTGAGAAACAGGAAGCTGCTCAAACTGGACACAGCTATAAGATGCCCTGTAAAGCCCAGGACCAGTGAAGTTCACTGCTGCATTGAACATGTATGCATTTTATTGTTAAGATTGTTGAAATTACCGCAAGGTTCAATATTTGGCCAAGTAATTTCCTTCCAACAGCAACCCACTGCTTCCCTCAGCACTCATGCTAATGGGTGCACCTTTTAAAGTCAGTATGGCGTCATGAACTTCAATGAAGTGTAGAAGCACTGGCAGATTTTCTTTGTTTCTGGCTGGTTTCTTTACAGTTTCCTTCAGAAATCCTTCCTCAGAAATGTTTCATCGCTACATTAATATTAGTAGTGTGGATGCCTCATGCCATTAAATAATCTGGCTACCTTGCAGACTTATTCTGGGGTTTGGCCTTAAGGACAAGAAGCCAGACTCTAGCCTGGCTGTACTTTTTTCAAGCACCAGAAGTTGTAGGCAGCAGAGCTTTAGGCAGCTTCTGTTGTTCCACATCAGTATTAGTGCTGTTCTCACAGCTGAGTAACATGTTTCCATAAAGAAACTACATCTAAAAACTACAATCTTCTACAATATAAAGGTGATATATATGCAGGCTTAAGCAATTTCTTCTTATTTTTTCAGGACTGATGTAATTCAAAGTGTTAACTTTTGGTGGTCATGGTTTATCATGCCGTCCATCATAAATACGGTGCTTTATATAACACAGAGACATGGTAAAGTTAATTAATCATCCTAAGAAACCAGGAGTCTGTGGATCCATTTCTGTAATCTTAGAAAAAGATAAATATTTTTATGTCATAAAATATGCACCGACTATATTTCAAAAACACTATAAATGTTTCTGATTCATCAAATTAAGAAATCTTTCATGAGGGCGAGGATTAGAAATAATGTGTCATCAGGACTTTTTCTGCAACTGTCGCTCTATGAATAACTATGTATGAAAGGAACATCTGTCAAAGTATAATTAATTATTTCATTATAGTCAAATTAGAAATCATGCCCACATAATGTGCACTGCTTAAATGCTCTTAAATACATACAATAGCCGAATTAAGTCCTAGGCTCTCCAGTCTGATTACACAACATGAAACTAACACAACCAAATCCCACCCCCAGCTTATGAAACTCAATCCAGTTAACACACTTTAGCTCAGCAAACCCTGTTTTTGTAACAAACTATTGAATCTAAATTACTGCCTGTATCTATATTTTACTGCGAGTAATAAGCATCGTGTCATGAAGAAGCATTTTTTAATTATTTATGATTTCATAGTTTGTCACACTTGTTTCAGATCATCAAACAAATGTTAGTATTAGACAATGATAACCTGAGTAAATACAAAACACTTTGTAGATGATTACGTTCATTAAGTGTAAAACCTGCAAAGCCAGAACTGCAGTCGAGCATTTGAGATAACTGGTAATGAGTTCATGTTTGGATCAGTTAGAGCGAGTTATAGGAGGTCCTGAAGAAGCAAAGCAGCCCAGACCATCACACTACCACCACCCTGCTATGATGTTGTTTATATGAAATGCTGTGTTTTACACCAGATGTAACTGGAGTCAAACCTTCTAAAAAGTTCAACTTCTGTCTTGTCAGCCCACAGAATATTTTCCTAAAAGTCTTGGGGATTATCAAGAAGGTTTCTTTTTGGCAAATGTGACATTAACCTTTGTGTTGTTTTTGGTCAGCAGTGGTTTTTCTCCTTTGAGCCCAGTCTTTTTCTTATCACTGAATCATGTAGACTACACTAACTGAGGCAAGTGAGGCCTGCAGTGCTTTAGATGTTGCTCTTGGTGCCACTGTTCACAATTTAAAAGCTGCATTTTGTATTTCATCTGGTTTTCTTTGCCTAATAGTAAAGCTTCTTTGATCTGGAACGTTTAAGTGTGACAAATATGCAAAAAAAAAAACAACGTAGATCTCCAAATGGGCCAAATACTTGTTCACAGCACTGCAGAGCACAATGAAGACCCCTGCGTGGGAGACACTTGTCTAATGGTGATCCCGGGCAATCTAAAAATCATTTCAGTTCAGTGACTTGTAATAAAACAAAGATTCACTAAGACGCTATTAGGAAACTGAGCCCTCATCTTCAATAGCTCACAAGCTTCAGCTGGGACAAAAGCCTTTGTTGGGACACAGAGCTCACTGCACAGCCTGTAGAGACATCAGACTAGTTTATGACAGACGGGTCAGCAGGGGGCGGGCGGTGGGCTGAAAACATACATATAGCTTTAATTGTACTCATGGCAGTGTGCATGAAAGTCTTTAAAGCGCTGAAGATAAGTGTGCATTGTTTGTAAAACTGCGAGCAATCAGGGAGACAAGACACACACACAAACTTCAGTGAACCCCTAATGTGAGACCCATGACCTGGTGAAAGGGGTTTTCTAGGTGTGTGAGAGAGTGTATGAGTGTGTGTGGGTCAGGGTTGCCAGGCACAGTATGCCACCTGCGACTGGAATGAAGACTAAAGGAGTGGGACAACAGAGAAGAAGATGCACAACACAATGTGACTGTGAGTGCTACACTTTCAGTAGACAGGCCCTACAGAGTGCTTTACATCTTATGAGTGAAATATCTTACTGATGGGCCAAAAAACCTCCTACATTAGAAGTTGAAAAAATAACTAGCTAAATAACTAAATAAAGAAATGGCACCCTCTGCGACTGTCCTGCCCACCTAGTTAGCAAGGCATCAGTTTGTACTGCCTTGGTAAAAACTTCTCTCGTTAAAACTTTTCATTTATTTATTTGTTTATTAGAATTTCCATTAGCTCAGCTCTAAAGTGTAGCTACTCTTACTGAGATTGACTTTAACAGCAGTAAATTAAATTAGAATTGAATTCCAAACTTGAATTTTCAGTGGCTTCTTGAAGGAAACATTTGATGCAGATAGAAGTCATATACTGTAATCAGTCAGTGTGCACTGTATTTCCAGCTAGCCAGTAGTAACTTGAAGTCTTGTATGTCCTTGTTGAAAATCCTGTATGTCAGGAACTACATTTAACTACGTACTCACATCTTTTATCGGTATCAAACATCCAAATTGTCAAAAGTGAAACTCTGTGAGCTTTCAGGTTTTTGAAAGGAGGCTGTGAAAGCTCTGTGATTAGCTTAATACATTAAAAAGCCTTTGGAAATGACCAAACTCCAACAACGCTCTGGTCCTGCCTTGGAGTATTTGGGATGTACTGACCGTTCTGTTTGAATGGACGGACGAAAACATCGTCCTGGAGGAGTTGTTGCAGTTGAATGGATGCTTTTATACTTTTTTCCCCGTGAAAATGTATCAAAGGAATACATTGTAGCTTACCATATAGAGACTGACCCCAGAGAGAGAGAGAGAGAGAGAGAGAGAGAGAGAGAGAGAAGACAAGGCTTCTGAGCCCACCATCACATCAAAGACTGTCACTAAAGATTTTGCAAAATATACATTTTTGGTCCATCTGTAAACCTAAAACACATGTAAGCTGTTTGAAAAAAAGAAGCATATTTATGAATTTGTGTATTCAAAAGCCTGGGCATCATGAATGGTTCACCAAAGCTTCAACTCTGATATGTGTCTGAATGATGTAAACCCTCATGTTCTATAAATGTGTGCCAATTACCCTCTTACCAGCTTCAGCGTACGTGTTCTCCGCATCAGCCTGAGTTACTCTTATGTATCTGGAAATCTCTGTTTCTCTGTGTGTTTATAGTGACTTTAACTGATCTCTTATCTAAATGCATCAGTAAACCAAGCCATGAGTCATTCACTGTAAGTGTCAAGTCACGTCTCACAGCACATATAACCCTGTTTCAAGGCTCACCTGAGCTCGCATGTTTATGTGCATGTAACAACACCAGGAACGCACCAAACCAAACCAAACCAAACAGTTTTTAATAGAATGTCACAAAATGCAACGCAAAAGCAATGTGAAAAGAAGAAAATCTGACTGGTTTATTGAGATAACAGCTGGTAGCATGAATTCTTAAGGCTCATACCATTAGACCTGTAGCTCTCAAACCGTGGACTGGGCCACACTGGTGTTGCAGAGAGCCATTCAGGTTGGGTGTTGATGGCTAGGCAAAAAAAATGGTAAAATTCAATTGAACAAGTATGTATTTTTGTATGAAAACTGGTTTAGCCAACTATATTTAAGCAAAATTTTAACATCAGTTCTATTCCTTTATTTGGTACTTTGGTAAATTATCAGGTGGGTGGCGAGGCTTTTGGCTTCTGAAGCATTGCGTGTCAGAAAAAGACTGAGAACAGCTGCATTAGAACAGCTGTAGAATAAGTGGAAGCAGTTTAACCTGAAACAGTGGAAAAAACGTTGGTAATGGTAATGAAGGACTCTGAAAAAGAAAACGTTTCAGCCAGGTCCCATCATAGATACACAGTAGCATATCCACACACACTACGGACAGCTCAGTGTGTGTCTCTGCCCCCTTTGACGCCCCTCCTTTAACCTCCCACCTTTTCTTCAACCCCTCCCTCTCTCTCTCTCTCACGTTTTCCCTCTATCTCTCTCTCCCTCCCTTGAATTAAGTCCATTATCCCAGCCCGCTCTGCCTCTGAGCAAGTCTACTCTGCTCAGCTGCTGCGAAAACTCCGTGTATGTGTGAACTCCTTGCATGCATGTGTTAAGAAGAGTTTTATGTGTGTGTACAGGCTTGTGTGTTTTTGTAAGTAGAGCTGAAGTGCAGCCGTTCATCAGTGGAGCTGACTGCAGGCAGGGGGAATACTCAGATCTCGCTTTGCTGCTTTTTAACTTCACTTACTTACTTTTTGGACTTTTTGAAGACTCACTGGACATATTTTGCACCATAGTGGAACTCTGCTGTTATTCTCTTTCTGTTCATGCACCATTCCCATAACTGGAAATAAAGGATTTTTTTCAATTTTTTAATCAGATTTCTTAAAAGAAGTTTTCAGGTATTTCCACCTGTTTAGCTGATCTCAGCTCTCACTTTCTGGACTGGTCAGTAACTGTTTTTTCATTAGTCCATAACTTGTATTATCTTTCTTGCTTAAATCAGATATGAAAAATCTTGGGAATGGGTTTTTGAAAGCACGCAACAAAAACTGAAAAGGTTTGTGTTCAGTGATTTCTGCATATAAGTAGAGGAAAGACTATGAGAAAGTAAAATGAAACAGAACAGTGTGGTAACAATGGATACTGTCTGCGCTGCCAGAGGCATGTTGGGCTCAGGTGGATGCTGATCCCGACCTGGAATGTTCTGAACTCCTGTGGAATTTGGTTCCCCTGGAAACGGATAGGCAGGTAAGTTAATTTGGACTCTGTTCCAGTAAGATCACCATTTAAGTCCGTAAAGTCAATAAAATTAGTTCAGTTTAGTGAAAGACACTTCCAACCACAAACGGACTTAACTTGTAGATGAAGTAATAATGAAATCATGACTCCTGCTGTGCCGTTAAGTTCCTGGTTCCCTGAGCCTGCTGTGCCTGTGACATGACCACCACGTGCAGCACTGCTAATCCTGCACCACTTCAAACTAAAATATCTTTCTAAAAGTCATGCCGATGACATGTGGGATTTCTCTCAGAGTGTTTACTTGAAATCTGCTCTGTTGTTTCATTTGAGAGAGTCAACTGAGTTGTCTTTCCTCTGGGAACAGTTTGGAGCAGATCCAGTCAGGAGACCAGAGGCTGCTCTGTAAGGTCTCGCCTTACTGCTGCTTCAGGGCTTAACACAGCCAAATGGATAGCTACCAGGGACCAGCAGGCTGCCCTCGCCTTAGTGACTCCTTCATTATCTCTTATTTCAGAGTTTCTTCCATGAGATGAGCGATTTAAGCTGCATGACCGCAAAGCAATTTTCCCACAGTAATTAAGCAGATTTCTTTCTTCAGTAGTATCACTCCAATCACCTCTTCCCATCCCGGCGATACAGGCAAAACTGGTGAAAGACTGAAAAGTTATCCATCCTCACAAATGAGACCGGTATGAGCATGAGCATAATTAGTGAGGACAGCAAACACCCAATTAGCAAGTTTTAGTGACTCCAGTTTCAATATTTATTTTTCCCTTCACACTCTGAATAATAAGAATAGTCAAACTGAATAAATGCTAGCCATGGGGTTTTCCATTTGTGATGCTGGGCCAAGTGGCTCAGGACCAGCGGACTGCCACAGCATCTCCAGCTCCTTCATTCACTTACACTCTTTTAAAGGGACCCGAGGACTCTGCTTCAGACTGTTTCGCTTTTCTTTCTCAATATGTTTCAGCTTAAATCCCATAAAGACCGGTGCTCACTTTTGGCTTAAAGCTAGGGCTTACTTTGTTTCTGTTGAGTGTGTGTGTGTGTGTGTGTGTGTGTGAAGCTTCACTTTGCTTCTATGACTAGCATTGCCCAAAGACTTAAAACACTTCAAATAAGAATGAACTTCTGAGATGCTTATTAAATTCTTTTGTAGCCTTCATATGACTCAGGCTTGTGCCCTTTTTTCCTATGTACTTTAAAAGTTTTTCAACTCAACTTTTAGTTGTAATTTTTTTACATTTATGGGCCATTTATATCATAATTATAGCAGAAAACCATCATTTCAACTTACTGCTTTTTCACTATAGGTGGTCTGTCTTTATGAATGTTTATTTTTATAGTTATCAAGGGAAATGAAGCGCTGCACACCTCGTTGTCCTTCCCAGAAAAAGCAAAACGCTGTCATGCTTCAGACCAAAGCGCTGTCACAGCTGTATTCATAGTTAAAGTCACAGTTTTGCATGACTCTTGTAGAATTTGTTTGTTAAAGTCTGCAGCATTTACATTAAGCAACGCCTCCCTGCATCACCTGCCCCGTTCACACATCTAAGACTTTCTGCTTCCGTGCTTCTTTTCATTCTTGGAAATGGGGCAAAAACTGGCAAGCCAAAATTTTTCAGTCAGAACTGAATCAAAACACAACTGTGCTTTAAAAAGTATTCTTTAAATGCCAAGGTGGTAACTTAGATTGGAGGTCCACGATTTGACATGCTCACTATACTATGCTACTATATATTGTACAGATGCATTCGGTCCCTGGATGGGTTCACTCTAACTATCACATTTACACCCTGAAAACCGTTTCCTTACTAGTGACTTAGCTGTCACTAGTTAATATTTATCCTTTTAATCCTAGAAAAATAATGTGACACAGACTATTAGTGCTTTGCGTTCTGACACGTATTATGATCACTTCATCAATACATGAGTCAAATTTATTGCAAAACAATTTCTGAATTTGATTAAAACAGCAGTAAATAACCAGAAGGAAAACAGCTGGTGGCATAACATTTGTGCTTCCAGCTTCAATTCTTTTCAGATGTGTTTTATTATGTCAAAATGACATGTTTCAATGAGAATGCAGTTAACTCCTTTATGTGGTCATATGATTTCAAAACTATAGACTTTATAGTATTTCTGGAAAAACATCTTGGTTTCTTTGGAAAAGACTTATCTGTTCACCTTACCAGCCCTCTTCTTAACCTTCTTCTCGCTCTTTGCGTCCATCCTTACTCTTCTCTACTGTCTTCTCTCTTGCATTCCTTCCCTTCCTCTGATTTACTTCCACTATTTCACAATTCAGCAGTACACATAATTATAAATAGCCATAGATTAAAGGAGCTGCATTGTCAGTGATAATGGGAGAGAAGCAGATCTTTCTCTGGACTGACTTTTAATAAAGGCTTTTGTTTGCCAACATATGTTTTCCATAGCACTGACTGCTTTCCTGCAGTCAGTGCTCCACAGAAAACCAATCAAATTAGATAGTATAGATGGGAGGGGGACTCATCACCGCGATGATAAGCAAGTATCTCTTTCACAGTGAGCCAACTCTTTTCTTAAACCTGACCGAGTTGGGGAGCTAAAAATCATAAAATAAGATGGAACTATGGAAAAATACATGGAACTCCTATGCTGTTCTCCTGCCGTATTCCTCATTCATATGTAAAACACATTTTGTAAGAAACAGAGAATTCAAGTGAGAGCTTTGAATTACATACGAACTTTTTAAAAAAAATCTTACTGTATTCTCTTTCACCCCGTCGCTCGTCCCATCTGTCGCCCCCTTAGCAAATTAACTGGTGCAAAAGCCACCAGTTACCTGCTGTTACAGCTATTTTGCTCTGTAAAGCTCTCCCTCCCCTCCTCACCCTCTCCACTTATTCTTCATCATCATCCATCCATCCCTCCCGCTTTTCATTTCTCACTTGCAGGGAGGCTTAGACTTATTGCTCACAGGCCAGGGAACTCTTTTTTTCCCCTAGGGGAGAAACAATTGGCTCCTTTCTCTCCATCACCTCCTGCCTCACTTGTTTCTTCTCCATTCCTCCCTCCCTACCTCTGCTGCATTCTCCTTTTTTGTAAGACTGCATGCATGCAGGCTGGCTGCAGGGTTGAAGTGCAGAAATGTCTATATCCTGTTGTTTTGTTCACTCCTTTCCACGTTCTCTCTTTTGTTGTCCTTCCCTGCCTTTTCAATTCTCCCCTCCCCGTTCTCCCTCCTTTTAGACTTCTAATTCTCCTTTCCTCTCCCTTTCATTCACATTGCCTTACTGCTTCATCCACAATTCATCTTTCAACTCTTTTCACACGTTTTCCTTGCTCTGCTCCTGTTGTGATTCCCCTCTCTTAACCGGCCTCTCAACAACTTCTTGTCTTCTGTCTCTACATCATTTTGTCATCTCTTCATTCTTCCCTCTGTAATGTTTTTATTTGTCTTTGCTTCCTTTTCACCTACCTGTCTCTTCATATATCTGACCCTCATTGTTTCCCCCTCTGGCTCGACTTGCTCTTGATCTCCACTGTGACCTGTGGCAGTGGTGGTCTACAGGTTAAACTGCAGATATCCATTTATTCATTACTGCATACAATACAGTAAAGTTGCACTCTAACCCCACTCTGAAAAAGCCGTTTCACCCTGGAGGCGGGCCGCTTTGTCTGCCCATCTCAATTTACTCTGGTTTTGACAGGACAGCCTGCTC